GGATAGTTAGGGAATCTGCCTGAACACCGCCATCGGGGTGTCGGGGTGCTGGATTTCAACCCCGGGGTTATGGGGTCTCAGTCCTTCGGGTTTTGTTCGCCAAAGAAGCCGCCGCCTGGAAGAGCCCTACCCTGCTGCCAAGCGACCGACTAGTACAACCTTCCTCAGAAGCTTTAACTTAGGCTTTAACCAAACCCCAATTCCACACACCTGCAGGCTTGATCCATCCATTTTAAACCTGCCAAACCTTCCGAAGCGTAGGACAGTGGCCACGGCAGCCTTTGCTGAAGATGACACAGCCCGTTTGGCACTGCTTCTCGGCTGCATGGTGCTTCGAGTACCCACCTGTCAGCAGCTGATGGATGCAGGGTACGTGGTACTTTTTGCAGATGACTCTGCGGCCTTGAGCCCCATGTTCGCCTAAGCCTTGAAAGCCCCAAAGTCGACGTAAAGTCGGCTCGTGGGCCGGTAGGGTTCCTCGTCCAGAAGTCTCGTCTCAGCATATCATCCGGGATATTGGAGTTTGGGCAAATTGCTGGTAGGGCTCTTGGTGCTACTTCTCCTAGGTAGGATAAGGGGGACCTTTAAGAGGGAACCCTTCTTAACCCTCTTCTGGCTCTCTTACACAGGGACCTTGTTCAGAGGGTCCCCCTGCCCAAGGGTCCCCCTAATCCTAAACCCTAAACCCTAAACCCTAAACCCTGAGCCCTAAACCCTAAAGCCCAAACCCTATCCCCTAACTACTCGACTCGCAATGCTCTTTTGGCGAGGTTGGCTCGGTGCTTGGGAGCCGCGGCAACGTGGACACCTGCACTGTGCCAAAGGCTGCAGCCCTAAGTGATAGGTTAAGGGTTTAAGGTGTAGGGTGGGGAGTGAGAAAGTGTACAAAAATGTTTTACTTGCAGGAATCTAATATAACCGGACAGAACACCATTGTATAATTAATCTAAATAAATACATATATGTATGTATATCTAAATAAGTGCAGTAAACAACATAGTGTAGTATACAACCTTGCACGTGGGAGCCAATTTGGATAGTTTTTGGAAAGCTGGTTTATTGATACCTGGGTTGCACCGAGGACTCGCCACCCCGCATTGCCCTCACGGTGTCTGCGCAGTGTCCCGAAATCCAAAAACTTTCGCTGTAACATGTGGGAACGTGAACTGTTGATCCCCTTCCCGCCTCCTTGTCCCTGTACATTGCCCCATGAGCCAGGATTTTGCTCGACAGTGAGGAGCATCGACAGGCCATTTAGAGTTCTTTTTAAACTTGGCCCTTTCCCTGAACCCTCAACCCGAAGACACGCGCAAATCGAGAAGTGCACCAAGTGGCAAAAGCCTAAACCTGCCCTGAACCCTCAACGTGCTGCCTGAACTGACCCTTCCTCTGGAACTGCTTAGACCCTGGTTAAGGGCGTGGGGGGTGGGGCGCTGTCAATCCAAGCCTTCATCTACTTCACAGGCATGGCTGCGTTCTGCTGCGGAGTCCGAGGGCCCCCTGCGTGTGGAGGCGGTTCTTGCGCCCTTCAACAGTTTTCGGGGTTTTCGGGTGCACGCGGGGTCGGACCCTTGCGGTGCTAGCTGAGCAGCCTACAAAAAGGCGTCCTTCTCTTTGTACCTGCTTGGCGGTCCGCGATCCTGGCTTTCAGTTTCGACAAACCAATCGACAGTTTTTGCAATTCCTGTGTCCGCCAGCCGGTGGCAAACGGCTCTAAAGTACCAATGCCCCGCGAGACCAAGGTAGTACTGCAAAGCCGAGCATCATGCAACCACTCTTTTTAAACTAAGAGAGGGACACCCCGCCTTTGCTCAAGGTTTCACGGTTTCGGGTGCCGGGTAATCCTTTGGACCGAGACCCGAATAATGGTTCGGAGTAACCAAAGCTGTGGGGCCTTCAAGGCCCTCGTAGGGGCGCCACATTACCGGCAGCGCAGGTCCTGCGCTTTCTGCGGAAGAGTGGGGGCCCTTTGCGGTGGGGCTGGGCATTTTGAGTTCAGGGTAGTGTTGTAGAAAGTGGCGTGGTAGAGTAGAAGGTTTAGGTTTAAATGAAACGCCAGGGCCGCGCGAGAAACCTGCGCACTGCACATACCCAAAAGAAGAAGGGAAACATACCACACTGATAAAGGTTTAGGGTTCAGAGAGCTGGTTGGTGCCTGGTCAGGTGTTCTCGACTTGGGTCTTGAACTGATGGGACTCCTTGCCGGGGGGGGGGGGGGAGAGTTAACGGGGGAATCTTACGGAGCCTTTGGGGGAGGATTAGGGAGCATAAGCGGTTTCCAGTTTTACAGATGGCCCACGAGTTGGGAACCCCTCCTTACGCTGAACATCTGGACCACTCGAGCCAGCCCCGAAACTGAGTCCATGCACAATGTTTAGATGTCCCAGGAAGCCAGACACCCCAACTCCTAAATCTGACCGCTTGAGCAAGAACTGCTTGGAGGTTCATGGTTAGTTATGAGTAGGGTTATAAGTACCCTAAAGAAGGTTATAACCAGTTATAATTATAGTTCCCCTACTTATAACCCAATTATAACTGCCCATGAACCTCCAAGTGCCCCTCATGTCCGGCCATAATGAGGCTGCGAGGTCGGCGGTCGGGGGGCGGTAGCGCCACTTGGCAGCCTTGGGGAAGGGTTTCGGGCAGCGCTGGAGTTTGCAGCCCGGAGTGAGACATAAGAGGATCGGATCGACGGATGAACCTAAAAGGGGCCCGCCTCACAAAAAGCTACGCAAACGGAGCTGGCGTAATTTTTGTGGATGTGGCCTTGCATTCTGGGAGTTTGGTCTGTGCAGGTTTTGTCGTCGTAGGTATGAAGCCTCCGCCCTGCACTCAAGCTCCCTTGTTTAAGCCGAAGCCCTCGGTGAGTCCGCGGGCCTTGGGACCCGCTACGGAGCCAAAGGCCTCGTAGTTTTCAATGCGAACCACAAGCCCTAAACTCTAAACCCTCGAAACCGAAACGCTTTTTTTTCGGCCGTGAACCTTGAGAGCGCAGCTCTTGCGTGGTTGCAGGTGGTGGCTAACTCCGGACACAAGGAAAGACTCCGAGGTCGAGAGGGCAGCGGGATCGCATTGGGCGGTCGAATTTTTTTCGGACTCTTGCTGGGATCCTCAAAGGCCTTAGAGCTTGTGGAGCTTAGGGCTTCGGGGCCTTCGGCGCAAAGTTGGTATTTCCACTTTTGGGTGCGGTGCTGAGGAAGCTACCTGGGCAACGCTCGACAGACTAAATGTGGCTTCGTTCCATCCGGAATGAGGTGACCTTGGGGCAACCAATTGCTAAAGTACCCGCATCAAGAACCACCGACTGTGGCAACAAGGTGCTATGAGGGTTACTTTACAACAATCTGCGTTCTGGACGAAAGACTTGAAATAAGCGGGTTGTACACAGCGAGCTTTAGCCGTTAGCCATTCCAAAGTAGGTTCCGGTTGGCTGCAGGGACCTGCTCTTTTTTTGTAGGAATCAGCTTAGGCAGTTCTATTCCTGCTCATAGCTGCGCGCGAACCCTTCAAGAGGAGTGCTGGACCGCACCGGCTGTGGTACGCCGCGCCGTGCTGGGCGCCCTGGGCGCGGGCGATGTGGAGCCCACGGCCAACCGCCACCCGGCGGTGGCATGTTGCGTTTTTTAGGGGTTTAATTTTTTAGTTCAGGGCTTAGAGATTTTGAGGTTCTTTAGGGAAGGTTTAGTATTTTGGGAGCTTGAGTTGGCTCCAATCTTCCTGGCTGGGTTCCGGGAATTCTTGAACTGATGGCGCGGGGCTCTTCGTAAATCGCCTACATCTACTGCGAGCACCCTTTGCCCAGCCGGAAGGCTGGCTGGAACGAAACCCTTTGCCTCACCAGCGCGTCTCTTGCTGGCCCAAAACCCAACACTCCGACACCTTTTTTTAGTAGCGAACCCCCTTTATGCGTCAGCAATTCGGTGGGCCAGTCTGTTGCCAGTCCCAACAATCCAACACCTGAAGCCTGGGGTAGGAGTTTCAGCCGAGTTGGTGCTGTGACCTCCATATGAAACAGGGTTTATACTACTGTTATTGGTGAGTGTATATAAGGTTCCTTTTTAATATTGGTGAGTGTATATACCTGGTGTCCTTTTGGGGGGTACAAGAAATATATACCCTACTTCATATGCGTATGTGTTGCATCGTGTGATGTCTCATAGAGTTTAGATCACAGAGTACAGGGCGAGAGCTGCACTAGCACTCACAGGGTCCGACAACACTGTGCTCCTCAATGGATTGCCTCTTCTGTGGACATGGAATCCCGGCCCGCCTTGTGCGAGTGTGAGCGTCGGAAGCCCCAAACCTGCGAGCCCGGAAACTCCCAAGTCGAAGCACAGGCACAGCGCACGACGTGCTTTGTGGCGTCGAAGGGCTGAGGCGACTAAACTGTGCAAGGGTCCCTTATTCTGTGAACGGCACAAGATCCAGCTCGCTTTTCAACTGGTGTTGGGCAGCCAGGGTTCCTAAACTTAAGGATCCCAAGAACTCCTTTTTCCGTACGGCCTAAGGGCCTCAACCTTTTTGATGCCCTGAGGCTATTCGATTGGGGTTGAAGGAAATCAATCTGCATGCCCGAACCTCGCCCTCTAAGTGTCGACCTTGGGTTTGGGTCCTGGGGTTTTCTTCAGAGGCTTCGCTTAACATTCCGCTGCGCTGCTCGGTCGTCCCGGGAAAAGCTGTGAAAGTCGAACGCCTTGACCCGCCCCCATCTCCTCCCCATATCGCCAGCATAGACGCCTCAAGCCCTACACACGAAAACGTAATTCGGACCTGCACCCCAAGCCCGCCCTGGACCCCTAAACCCACAGGCAGAACCTAAACTTCCGGACCTATCCTCCGAAGCCAAGACCTTAACTCAACCTCAAGACCCTAAACCCAAAACCTCAAGACCCTAACTAAACCCTGAACCTGATTTTTGAAGCCCACGGCTCCGATTTGGTTTGCCAACTGGGCTCGAGTCTGGGCCTCGCTCTCCGTGGGTCGCACAAAGGCTCACAAGCATGGCGAAGCAGGCGGGGGGGGTCTAGGGTTTAGGGTTTAGGCTTTAGAGTTGCGGGCGGGGGGGGGGGGGGGGGGGGGGGGGAGAGGAGGGAGGGAGGGAGGGAGAGAGAGAGAGAGAGCGAGCGGGAGGGGAACCGGGCGGGGCGGTCGGCTGAGCACCGTCCTCCCGAACACACTGGCGCGAACTGCGCAGGGTCTTCACGGCCTCCCGAAAGGAAGAGGGGATGGGTGTAGGCGGGGCTGAGGACCTTGAAGTTTCAGGGCATGCCAGTGTGAGAGAAAGGGTGGCGCTCGAGGTTCGGGAGCCCCGTCACTGATTCTCTGTATGATCTCGCCAGGCTAGGACCCGCATCTACGGCAATGACACGATTGACGCCTGGGCAGCCGAAGTACTCTCCCCCGCCCCCCCCCCCCCCCCCTTCCAAAAGATTTTCAGGGCTAAAAGGGGTGGTGAGAGGCTGGCACCAGTTACCTTCCATACCTTCCGACCCGTGAGATAAAGCAAGAATCAAGGCCGCTTGTGGTTTTGTTCCCTGTATTTCATGTGTCTTGCGCCAAACCAAGTCTTGAAGTTCTTTCTCTTGGGCTTGGGCACATCAGACCGTGTCCGTAAGGGAGTATGGGGGTGATGGGGTGATGGTAGATGGACACGCCAGGTTGCCCCATCCCTGTTTCCACTGACCCCGGTCCACCAACCAAAGCTTACTTGGAGCCTCCTACCGCTCGCTTTTCAAGGGGCGTGCGTCCTCCCCAGGGTTCAGGGGCTGTAGCTTGACTCAATGCTTGACGTCTTGCGTTGGCGAACTTTTGGGTTAAGTCAGATTATAAGGATTGAGGAGCCAGGAGCCCTTAAGGAGCCCATTGGCTTGGTGACTGATCTTGGTTGAGGGCTCGGTGTGGGGGAATTAGAGGAAAAGCTATGGATCACCCAGGCAGAAACTAAAGTCCCCAGACCTCCAAACCCTAAACCCTAAACCCTAAACCCTAAACACCCCCTCGGCCCGAACCCAAACACTCCGAACTTCAGAGCAATTTCCAAGGATAGCATGCCGGAGTTGGTGCAGGAATGGTACCATGCCGTTGGCACACCCATGGGAGCCTCCCGGCCTTCGATTAAACCCTAAACCCTAAACCCTAAACCCTAAACCCTAAACCCTAAACCCTAAACCCTAAACCCTAAACCCTAAACCCTAAACCCTAAACCCTAAACCCTTGCCGTGGCTAGTCGGGGGGAAACCCTAAACCCTAAACCCCAAACCCTAAACCCTAAACCCTAAACCCTAAACCGATTCGCGGCTTTCAGAATCAGGTTCGGAGGGTGTCGAGGTAGTTGAGGGTTGGCAGGGCTCCGCAGCCGCACGGCGTGTAGTATGAGTCTCTATATCCCGCTTGGGAATCATTTTTTCATTTTTACTTGTATAAAACCCAAGAGTATACTAGAACTATTGTTTTTCTTAAAAAATTAAGGTTCTAAGGGGAGTATAGGAGTCGAGGAGGGCCTTCCACCTTCAGAATCGTTGCAGCGTGAATCCTCCACCCCCCCGAACTCCACGAGACCTTTGGCGGCAGACGTTTCGGGCACACCTCTGCCCTGAGCCTCGAGCCCTAAACCCTAAAACCCTAAACCCTAGAAACCCTAAACCCTACCCCTATACCCTACAAACCCTAAACCCTATACACCCTAATCCTGAAACAAACAGGGCCATCTTGCACCCCAAGCCCTCGACACGTCTCCCCAAGATCTCCTTGACAGCGCTTCTCAGGTCGGCAACATGGCCTGGGCCAAGGAATGCGTGAAGCCGCTCGGAGACATCGGCGGGAGGGCTTTGGGAGGGCCCAAGTTCGGCTTAAGCAGGGCTTAGGGTTTAGGGTTTATAGGGTTTAGGGTTTAGGGTTTAGGGTTTAGGGTTTAGGGTTTAGGGTTTAGGGTGGGCTTAAGGTAGGGCAGATGGGGCGGGGAGCTCCAAGGTCTGTAGAAAGTCGCGAAAGCACGAGGCTTAGGGACTGAGGGGCTCCCAGCGCACGACAAGAAACGAGCCGTGAACCCTGAGTCCTGCAAAGCAGAACCTAAATCCGAGCATGGGTATGAAACAACCTCCACCCCCCCCCCCCCCCCCCCCCCCAAAAAAAAAAAAAAAAAGAAAAGAAGAGTTTAAAGCGGATAAACAAGACAAGACAGGCACTTGAACCCCAAAGTAACAACCCTCAGACAAGGCAGCTGTGAGCCCAGGATCCCGAAAACGAGCATTTTAGACCTTTGTGTTCTGCAGCGCAAGCCCGATGTAGGTTGCACGCTTCCCTTCCCCGGGGCCGATGTCGCTTAGGTTTAGGATTGAGAGTTTGCCTTCTTTCGATGCTGAACTCAGACCCCAAACCCCGAAGGACCTCAAAGCTTGGTGCACGTAAACAAGGCCTTGAGCATTGCCCATGGTGGAAGTCGTGTTCAGAACTTGGGTCTTCGTTATTTCACAGAAGAGGGGGGTTATTCTGCTTAGGGCAACGGCAACCGCCGGTGCATTGTGGTTTGTGTACCTTTTCAACCTTGCTGTATGTTGTCAGTACAGTTGAGGCATCGCAACAGGATTGTAGACGTAGCAGCCATCACTTGACAAAGGAAGGGCGTTGACGTGAACGCGCGCCTGGATGCCTACGGCGGCACAGCTCTTTTTTTAGCGCTCAGGCTGCAGATTCCACGACTCGAGGTGTAAATGCTAATGTTTTGTCATGGCAGTCCCTTGATCGGTCGCGCTGAAGCTACTTAGTGCTGCGGGTTTTGAGGGCTTTTTCGTCCGCGGTACCGTTCAGGGCTTAAAGAACCACCTTGAAGCAGACCACGAGACCCAGCAGAAACATGCAATATGGGCAATCGGGTCTAGTTGCAAGCCGCTGCAGCCTCGAAATGCTCACAACGAAATCCTGTGGGCCCAGAGGCACGAAGTCGCTCAGCGTCACCACTCCCAGGCCCTTGCCCCTTCGAAAGCATGCGAAAGTCCCAAGGCAATCGAGCAGGGCAGCTGGGACATGATGAAATGGCGCCTCGCACTGAACAGATGAAGGTTTGGATCCTACTGGTAGACTGTTTCTTTGCAGGGCCATGGCTTAATGGCGTGGACGTCCCAACCCAAACAGCAGCCCAAAAGCAAGAACATGGCCAGCCGCAAGCTTCACCACGCCCAAGCAAGCCATCTTTCCTGCTCCAATTGCGGTACCGACCACCGTCACACCCTCAAGCTTTGAAGAGGTCCAAGGTCTAGAGGTTCAGATGATACCTGAACAGCCCGGCAGCAAAAAAGATGATACCTGACTAAAGTTGGCGATCCCAAGGCCCATAACCCATCATGTGCACGATGTGTCCAATCAGAGTCCAGCATGGGCCGAGTTGACCCCTAAACCCTAAACCTGGTGGCAAAATTAAACCCTAAACCTTAAACCCTAAACCCTAAACCCTAAACCCTCTCCATATGCCTTGAGCCCCAAGCTTGGGAAGGCTTGTCGAGGAGGCAAAGGTCGACCTCGAGATTCTCGACTACGGAGGCTTTTTTTTTTTATTTATTCTCAGGGGGGTTGTTTAAGCACGGTAAAAAGCTTGGTGGGCCTTTCATTGGGGTGCAGTCGTTGGGTTGCTCATGGGATAATCAGATAGTTTGCTTGGGCTTGGCGGTTTTGGGATTGCATCTCTTGAAGAAGGCTTGCTGAAGCCGCGACATCGAGTTCCAGAAGCAAGCGCCGAAAGCTTACGACCTTAAAGCCCGAACGCCCTGAAGCCCAACAAAAGAGCCCGAACCGGCGCTGTCCAGGTAGCCAGGGGTCGGAAGCATAATGAAACATTGGCTCGGCTTTTCGCAGGCTACAACGCGCTCGACTACGCGGCAGCATGCCATTGGCACCACCCCGATCGGCCGCCGATGCTGCCTGGGGGTTCCCCGGCCGTGATGTCATGGGTTTAGGGTTCAGGGTTTGGGGTTTAGAAGGGCGAAGGGTCAAGTTTCAATCGCTCTCGTACTTCAGAGTCACTGCTGGAAAGAGTTCTGGAATGAGTTGCAGAGCTGTCTTCACATTTCGCCCAAAGTTGCTTCAGGAAGCGCCTAGTATGAAGAAATGGGTCGGTTCCCAGTAAGGTCAAATATTCGTTTTCTTTGACCGCAAGGTACATGCTTTACGATGCTTCAAATTTCTCAACACATCAGTAACCCTCCGCAAGGGATATGGGAGCCCACTGTTCAAATAGCTCGGGCCCATCGGCTCTCGCCGCTGCGGGGCCGCGACCCTCGCTTCCGAAGCCAAGGAAAGCCGGCACCCACGGACATCGCCAGCTACCTGAAAAGCCAAGGCACGCCTCTCCTCCTTTTTTGCCAGGTCCAAGTTGAAGAAGTTCTTCTTCCGCTAGCTTCCTGTTTGGGATGGAGGGCTTAGGGCACAGACAGCTTATCTATAGTTTCCATGGCTGCACAGGTTTGGACGTCATGGTTGGTCTTACTCGCAACTTCCCTAGTGTCCGGCGCATGTTCCTTGCAGCGCCCGTCGTTTCACACCTTTTTCGCCGTTTCCCGGCTGATTTCCTCTTCTCACCTCAGAATGGGTTCCAGACCCGAAGCGAGGTAACACCTGCTCAGGGCCTATCGAAGGGTCTAGGGTTTAGGGTCTAGGGCTTAGGGAAAGTCAAGGGGATGAGGGTTCGGAAGCAAGGGGCTTGAGCGCGCTTAATTCTTCTGGCTTGTCGACCCAGGCATGCAGTACACCTGGTTTGGTGCGGCTCTTGCCGAGGACCCGGGCTGAGTCTTCTAAAGTTGGATTGTTGACAGATCAAGGGGCCACCCCCTTGAAAGACATGCAGGATGATCGGGCAGTATAGGCTCCGGGTGAAGTTGAAGGTAATGTAGAAATCCAACTTTGCTGTCCGTGGTCCTTGATTTTCCTGGTTGAAAGGTGTCCCCCTGCCCCCCCCCCCCCCCGCGCCGCCACATCCCAGTTTCCCAGTTTGCCAGCCTCGGAAGGACATTGATAGGCTGTGGGAGTTCCTCGAGAATGGCCAAGATGTCAACGAGCGAGGAGGGCATTTCAACAAGAGCCTTGCCTTTGGAAGAAGGGAAGAGCCCGCAACCAATGTTCGAAATCGTTTGAATGCGTTCCCCTGCAGTACAGGTTGATGCCAAGTATTGCATGTTGGGTTGCGAGTCCCGGAATGCCAGCTAGGCACTTAACAGGTCCTTCCATTCCTGAGCCCTCAGATGCGAAACGAGAAGGTCGGGGCTCAGTTTGCATCCCAGAGGCCGGATGCAGCAAGAAACAAGCAAGGCCTAGCAAGGGATGTTTCGGGAAAGGGGCCCAAAAAAAAATCCAGAGCCCTATAGAAACCCTGTAAACCCCAACAAACCCTAAACAAACCCAAACAAGGCAACTGGGGTCCCTGCCTCCTGGGAGCTCAGGAGCGCTTTAGAAGAAGCTGCGGACAACGGCGGCTCCCGGGAGTGGACGAATTGGTGTTGAGGGGGTTTAGGGTTTAGAGGTTCGGGGTTTAGGGGTTCAGGGGTTTAGGGGTTCGGGTTCAGGGTTTAGGGTTTAGAGATTCGGGGTTTAGGGTTTGTAGGGTTCAGCTAGATTGTCCGAGACTGGGTTCAATATGGGGCTCAGGGATTCGGGGTTTAGGGGAGAAGGGTCGAGGGTTTCGGGGAAAAGGGGATCCAGGGTTGGGGGAGGGGGCTTTAAGGTTCCTAAAATGATGGGTGCCTACTTTTGGGGTTTCTCTGGCAAGGAGTTACGTGCCCCATTTTAGTTGACACCCCGGGTTTTGGTGGTTTCAGGCTGGGTTTTGGGAGGATTAGGAGGATTTCCTGCTGGAAGGAATGGGTTCGTGGAATGTAATCATGAGAATGTCGCCTAAATCCTAAACCCTAAACCGGTGGCTCCACTTTTCTCCGAACAGACCACCAAATCACCCTGCCTGCGGTTCGGCCAGCTATGCGGGAGCGAAAAAAAACCTAAACCCTGAAACCTGAACCCTGAACCCTGAACCCTGAACCCTGAACCCTGAACCCTAAACCCTAAACCCTAAGTCAAGTTCGGTGAAGCTGAGTCAGCTCTGAGCTCGCTGCTGAAGAGGGCATTAGGGGTTCGGACGGCCATCCAGGTTCGCCCAGGTTAGGCCATCACCGACCCAGAGAGCCCAATACCCCTGCATATACCTTAAATCGTATTAAGGACCCTTTGTGATTTAAGGTATATTCCTTATTTAAGAGGTATTGGGCTCTTTGGGTAAAAGCTTGAAACCCGAGCTAAAGACCTTGGGGTTTATGAAGCCTCGCTCTCCAATACCTTGCAACTTTGCAGCTCTCGGAACTTTGCTTCCCCATGTCGGGCACGTGCATGCCTTGCCCCCCGAAGCCGCAGAAGTCCCTAAGCCCTGAACCCTGAAGACAAAACAACGAAGGCGTCTCTCTCGGGTTCACTATTGGCAAGAAAATTTTGGGGTCTGATGGCTGTGCCTCAGTGATTTTGCGTCGGAGGGGGGGGGGTCGGCAGGAATGAGCGGACCTAGATGTTGGCAATGTGCGGGGATTTTGTCTTGCTTGCTGACTTTCTTGGGCAGAGAGAGGGGGGACATGCCCACAAGCACGCGCAAAGTTCTTCAGTCCTGAGCCTTTCGAAACCCCACACGGCCCTAAGCCCTAAGGCTACTGGACGGCCAAGTTCTTGATGGTGAAGGGCGGGCAGGCCTTTGAGTTTGTGACGTGCGTGGAAGCTCGAAGGAGGGTGTATTTGCATTTGGGATTCTAAGGTCGCAGCTCAGTATTTTGGGAACAGTCAGTCTTCAGGGGCCTCAAGTCGGGCAGCCCTCAGTGATCCCCCCCCCTGCTCGTCGGATAGCATGCCCATTCAGGCCACACAGGTTTGCTACCGCAACTCGAAACTGGTACCAGCATCGCGGGTCGCATGTCCTTTGGCTGCTCGTAATGAGACGCATCCCACGTCGAGGGCTTAGGCACCACAAGCCTTGAAGTAAAACGCCCAGAGGGAAAGGCCTGCTTGAAGCTTCATGGGCAGCTATAAGTGGGGTTATGTAAGCAGGGTAGCTATAGTTAACTGGCTAGATCCGTCTTTAGGGTACTTATCACCCTGGCCAAACCGAGCCCCCGCCTTGCCGCAGACCAGCGTGACCCCAAACTGGATCTACTCCATGTCGCCGGAGAGCCACATGGCCAAATGGTACCTTTTTCCTTTGTTCTGCTCAAGGTTCCCTCATAAAGTATCCGACCCCAACAAAAAAAGGGTGCCCTTATTTATAGTAATTGACTGGGTGACCAAGGCCACTGCACAGCCAACATCCAGGGCAAGCTCGCCAAGTGAGTGGGTCTGGGGTTGCCGCCCTGGGCCCCCACGTTGGAAGATGTACGAGCTTTCGAGCTCTCGTAGAACTACCTTGGGTGAGCTGTTAGAGATGTTGAGGGCTTAGGGTGTAGAGATGTTGAGGGCTTAGGGTGAAGAGTGGTTGGGCTTTTTGCAGTTCGGGCGGGCTTCGGGCTTGGGAGTCGATTCTTCCAAGACGCCGCCGAATACTCAGAGAGCCGTGGTCGACCTCTTCGGGCACATGAGACGCCTCTGTAAGCTGCCTAAACCCTAAACCCTAAACCCTAAACCCTAAACCCTACACCCTACACCCTAAACCCTAAACCCTACAACCCTAAAACCCTAAAACCCTAAAACCCAAAACTCTACACCCACCTTATCCCCGAAGCGCTCAAGTCTCATCCTCGCAGCTCAGGCCCGTTACAGAGCCCCCCCCCCCCCCCCCCCAAGATCTGCAACTTGTGAACTCAACGCTAAATAGCCCCAAAGTCACCAGACGCTGACAGGAAGATTCTTTGAAGGCGTGAGTCAGCCGAAGCCCACAGGAAGCTTTTTAGGGATGAGGCTCAGTTTCCTGGGGCGGTCGAAGCCACGAGCTGCCATGCGTCAGTGCTCTATCCGCAAGCTCGCCCGAGGCAGCACTTAGCCATTAAGAGAGAGCGGGCTGCAAGGCGGCAGGATGCAGGATTTTGGGCTTACCAAGCTTGTTCATACGGTTTCGAACCCGCAGTTGAAGCCTTAGATGAGATACTGTTAGGATGTAGTAGGTGTCTTTGGGGTGTAGGGTAGAGGGATGCGCTTCCTAAACTCTTACATAGACCGGACACCCCCCAACACTCTTCTGAAAAATGGGCGGAAGTGCTGCTCTCGGCGCGCAGTATGAGCCACCACACTAGGCATTGGAATCGTGTCGCTTTCACTTTGGAATCGTGACACTTTAGCTTTATACGTTCGACAAAGTCTTGGGTACGCATCTCCGAAGGGCCGCCATCACAGAGCTTTCCCCTAAACCCTAAACCCTAAACCCTAAACCCTAAACCCTAAACCCCCCTCCCCCCGCAAGTTCCCCTCCAGTGAGTCTTCCGGCATTCTCGTTGCGAAAGGCTTGTGAAGTTGCTATGGTGCCAGAGCGACTGGAAAAGTGGCGCGTTGTTCGAAGAAGGGCGGAGGTTTCTCGAACAAGTGCTAGGTAGGCCCTTGGGGCATTTATATTTTTTCCCTTATTGGGTTTAAGACGATCATATTCAGGAATCTTTTTCAGAGGTTTTAAGGGCCATCCTAGAGAGAAATTGCAGGTTGAGGGCTTTGGTGCTCTTCCCCCCCGAGCATCCTAAACCCGCCCGAAGACCTCCCGCCTCCTCTCCCCCCTAAGCAGGTGGCATGGGCAAAGCCCAAGCCCCCAAACCCTAAACCCTAAAGCCTTCCAGAAAGCCTGCTGCAGAATCTGGTTGGCCTGGCTCCGCTGCGGGGCTGGAGGCGATCGCCTTGCGGCTGGGGCTGCACTTGGGTAGCTATCATTGGGGTTTGGTTGTGGTTTAGGGTTTAGGGTTTCGGGTTTAGGGTTTAGGATTCTGGGCCCAGGGTTGTTGTTATTGTTGTTATCATTCTTACGATTACTCTCATTGCTATTCCTAATTCTTCTTGTCGTTGTTTCCACGATTTTTGCAACTTGTTCTATTGCCATCGCAATAATTGGAGTTCATGGTGCCATCCGTTATTGCTGGCATCACTGGTTAGACGCGTCTAGCTCGCACTCCCCCCCCCCCCCCCCCCGCCCTTCCCACACAGGGACCCAGTCCCCCTCCTCCCCGCCACATGCTACGTGTGCAAGTGGCTCCGGGCTCTTTTCGCAAAGCCCAAGCTCCGTCTGCTGCTTCCTCCAAATCGAGGGTTTTAGGATTCTTTAGGGCTTTCAAGGGTCGAACGTCCAAGCCTCAAACCCGTACGGGCGCGCAGCTCCTGAAACTGACAAGGTCTAGGGCTTAAGGTTTATAAGGTTTACGGTTTAAGGCGTGGAGGGTTCAAGGTATTTCGGGTTTAAGGTTTACGGGACTCAAGGCTTCAGGGCTCAAGGTTTCAGGGAATTCCCTCTTATCGGCTACATGCTTCGCCCCATCGAAAGAATGCTGAGCCCCAGGAGCACTTTGCGCCCTCCGTGGCCGTGTTCTGGCAGAGGCCGCACGCTTGAGCACCCCACAAGTTCAGGAAACATACCTGACAGATCAGAATAAGCACCTAAACCCAAAACCCGAATCCTTTGAGGTGTGTTCCTCAAAAGAAGGGCCTAAGCCTACACCCGAATCAGTTAGAGGTGTAGGCAGTGTATTCCTCAAAACAGAAGGGGGGGGGGCAGTGGCTCCCCGTCCTCAGAGCCTCCGAGATCCGAACATCCCATGGCTCCCCAAAGGCCGACTTATTGTTCATGTTGGATAGGCTCTACTTGGCCCTAAACCCTAAACCCTAAACCCTAAACCCCAAAAACGGCTGCAGCCGGCCGCCCTCAGGTTCGCTGCAGGGAGCCCTGGCGAAGAAGCCGATTCCCTGCTGAGCGCGCCGAGGGCTTGGGTGGGCTCGGGCTGTGGCTCTACCTCAGTTTGCTTAAGAACCACCCCAAACGAAAGGACCTATTCTTATAAGGGCAATATCGGGAATTTTTATTTATGTGTTTTGGGGGGGTTCTTAAGCAAATAGTAGTTTAAGAGTTGCAAAGGCTCCTGAAGTTCAGCGTTTAAGTAAGGGCTCTCTGCGAGGTGGGGGTTAGAAGGAGGGCGAGACTCTGCGTGCGTGTAGGTCCGATTGATTAAGACGGTGCATAGGGTCAGTTACTTTTTGGGGGTACCCGAAATGCAAGGCGCCATACAACAGGAATTAAAAACACAAAGGCGATCATACAGGATTCCTCAGCCCACGCGTGAAGGTTCATGGGCAGGTACAATCAGGGCCATATGTGCCTTAAGTAAATACCATTCATGCTGACCGTTCGGGGGCCCACATCTATGCATCGCGCGCACATGGATAAAAGTACACATCAGCAAAGATACGTGTATATACATACGCCCACGCCCGGAAACCTGTTTGTTTCTATTTATATGTTTGTCAAAAATAATAATACCAGGAACCATAGTGCTAACAAAAAGAGTATTCACATCATTTCCATTATTTTTAATCATCGTTTATCATTATGATTATTCTCATTGTTACTATCAAATGATCACTCTTATGATTATTATCATTATTAGTACCCTACATATACACATATACATACCCTAAGAACCTCCAACGAGGCAGCTCTTGGAGCTGTCCCTGGAGATCCTCCGCCTGCGAGGCTGTGAGGCCGAGGAGACACCCCCCTTTTTTTTCGTGGGGCCTTGATGGGTTTCTTTAGGGTTTAGGGTTTAGGGTTTTGGGTTTAGGGTTTAGGGTTTGGAGGGGAGGGGGGGAGGGAGGGTTCTTAGAATCAGGGTTGAGGGTTTTGGGTGGTGGGGTTTATAGTATATAGGCTTTTTGGGGCGGTTCATGTGACCAATGTGACCAGGGTTTAGGGATTTTGGGGACATGGTTTATTTTGTTTTGGGGTTCAGGTAGTGGGGTTTATAGGGTTTAGGGTTCATGGGCACCATGTACAAGTGTTCATGGGCACTTGAAAGTTGGCAAGTATAGGGTTTAGGGTTCATGGGCAGCTCGCCTTAGTCTAACGCATCTGCGCGCTCGGGTGTGTTTTTTTTATGTCTGGCGAGAGCTGCCGGCATGGGGTCTGAGGGTTTTAGGGGCTTTGCGGGGTGGCAGGTTTGGTGAGACATTGGAAACACGACACGTGTAGGGAAGTTTGTCAACAACAACAGGCTGGCAGATGCCAAGAGCGCACGGTTGAGAGGGTTTCTGGGCACAGCTTCCTGGCTTAGGGAACGGCGATGTGGGCTGAATAAAGGGGAACTGCGGCAGGACCAGGAAGCTTTCATGTTTACTCCAAACCAAGACCGGGCTTCAGCTGAAGTCCTGAAGCCCCGAATAATAATAATGATAATAATAATAATAGGAGTAAGAGTAAGAGTAAGAGGAAGAGTAAGAGGAAGAGTAATAGTAGTAGTAATAGTAATAGTAATAGCAATAGTAATAGTAATAGTAATAAAAATGGTAATACTAGTAGTAATACTAATGATGATTATTCAGATTATTATTACTACTATGTTTCCTCTAAACACTGAACCCTGGATCGGGATCGTAGGCCTTAAATCCTAAAGCCCTAGCGGTCCTAACCCTACTAAGCATCTTAAGCTTACCTGAAGTCACAAGGCCCTTGCAGGTGCGATCAAATTCAACCTCTCTCTTGCTGAGATCCTCAGAAGCTGTGCATAGCGTCTCTTCGACATCTGGCAGGTGTGGCACACACACACACACCCCATAAGCCCCAAACACCGCAAACCTGAACCCTGACGAGGTTCGGGGTCTTAGTGGTTTGCACTTAGCTTTATGGCTGGGAGTTTCGGGTGTGGCTTGGTTTGATTTGTTTCATCGGCTTGTGGGAAATGTGAGGCGTAGCTCCAAATTCATTTACGCGACATACAAAGCAACAGCAAGCCGAGTGCTTGAGAGCCACGACCGGTCACCATGGTCGAGGCCCGGCGCCACCAGGGCTTCCATTAGGTTCAAACCATCCAGTTCAGGGTTCAGGGTTCAGGGTTTAGGGTTCAGGGTTCAGGGTTTAGGGTTTAGGGTTTAGGGTTTGGGGTTACTAGGCTCGGCAACGTACAGGGTTTTAGCCGAGGCTGAGTGGGGGTCGTATCCTTTCCTGGCAGTTGTCCGCAGTCCAGTTGCAAAAGGGTTTAGGGTTTAGGGTTTGTTTACGTAGCATGGTCTTCTGGTTCCAAAGCCCTAAAACAAGAGTTGCCTTAGGGATGAGTTGTTACCACGGTGTAAAGTTCCGGATGGAGGCCCCAAGGTCTGCTGGGAACGGCGCAGTGTGCTTAAGTCGCGAGGTCTGTTTGAGCTTGGGTTTAGCTTTAGAACACACGTCGTCCAAATCAAGGCTTTTTCTGGAAACCTTTGCAAGAAGACTTCAGCCCTAAATCTCGCACCTACGCCGCCCCGTAAGCGGCGTGCTTTCTTGGGGTAGGCGGCCCGACCTTCTTGGATTCGGATGTTCGGGTTTTCCGGCGTTGCCGTTTATTCTTTTGGAGTATTGAGAACGGGCCTCTCTGACAGGCAATGCCGGCGATGGCAGGCGGTCCCGTCTTCTTGACCTCTTGTCTTGAAGGGTTTAGCATACATATATGTATATATATATATATATATACAAGCTACGGATGGAGGCCCCAACTGTTGCACCCACCTGCAACTTTCGCGTAGAGCTCGGAGACGACTTACATCACCCCCAAACCCTCAGCCCCGCATGCATCCGTGCCCCGCGGCCCCACCCAGCTCCCTCAGATGGTATCCCCCACCCGCCCATAGTTCCCTCCCCCAAACTCTGACCTTTCACCCGAAACCCAATACTTGGCCAGCGCAACTCGCTTTTCTGATAGCCCTGCAAGGAACATGCGGGGATCCCTGAATGAATTGACACCTTTTCCCCCACCCCCCAAGTCACAACCCTAAGCCCGGAATCCACACTCTTGGACTCCACAGCTGAAGTCCAGACCTCGAGGCCCCTCAACCCCACAAACGGTAAATAACCTAATGCGGTAATCGAAATCCACATCTAATTCCACAGAAAACAGTAGTTAAGACTCTACAAAGTATGCATGTGCACGCCTAACTCCTTGTCAGGGCTCGAGAGCCCGGGCAGGGCGGCAACAAGCTCAAGCCTCAACACCGGGTTACCGAGTGTGTTCTTGGAGGCTGTGGCTCGTTGAGTTTCGCAAATCTTTAAAACTATCATGTTGTCGGCTCGCAGAAGTCCAGCCGTGTCCTATGTCGTCAAAGACCCACCCCCCGTTCCCCCCCTTACCCCCCCCTACCAAACAAAGTCCAGCACAGCAAATCGAGATGAGTAACCCTAAGCCGAAAAAACCCTAAACCCTAAACCCTAAAAACCCTAAACCCTAAAATCATCGCAGAGTAAGATGGCAAAAAGCCCAACCAAGAAGCTTCCGAGGCCCCGGGCAGAGCCCTGCGGCTCGCCCCCCCCCCCCCCCTCCACCCAACGCAACCCCCCTCCTGATTCTTTGTAGGGAATGAGGGATTGAGGTAATTGTATAATATATCCCCCCAAAAGAACCCTTTAAGGGATTATATAGGGTACCTATGGGTACCTCATTCCCCTCATTTCCTACTACGAGCCAGTAAGGGCAATTGAAGAGTAGGACCCTGGGAGTGGGTGTAGGAAGGGACCCCTAATGTAGTTCCCCCAAAATAGAAGCATTCCCTGAAAATAAGGACCCCAATAAGGGACCCCTAATACCCACATATGCTTTGTTGTCCTCTTATGGGGTGTCAAGAGGAATCTTTCTCAGGGTTTCGGGGCCCACCTCTGTAAGCCACGAATTCTAAGCAGTCTGTTTCAAGGTTTGGGTGAATGCGGAGCATGGTGTAGTGTGAGAAGAGCTCTAGGCACACCTGAACCCGGAACCCTGAGGCCGAGTCTCTTGTTAGGCAAACCCCATTCCGGTCATCATCCCGAATGCCTGACACACAAATCTGAGTCACAGGCCAACTCCATTGCGGCGGACCTTGCGCGGGGCCCAGCTCTGCAACGCCTTTGGGCCCTCCTTCCTTTGTTGCGCTGGGGTTTTTTGGTTTCGGGGATCAGTGGCAGTGGAGGCTCTGTATGATGGATTCTGAATGGTGAGGCCTTGTAGCTGCCATCTTAACAGCTTCTAGGGTTCTCAGTTTAAGAGGTACCCTAAACCCTAAACCCTAAACCCTAAACCCTAAACCCTAAACCCTAAACCCTAAACCCTAAACCCTAAACCCTAAACCCTAAACCCTAAACCCTAAACCCTAAACCCAAACCCTAATCGCTCCACCAAGAGCCAAGAAGAGAAGCAACCAGAGGACCTTCAGCTGCAGAGTGTGGCAGCTGTGGCTCGGAAGGCCGGGCAGTCTCTCGAGGGTTTAGGGTTTAGGGTTTAGGGTTTAGGGTTTAGGGTTTAGGGTTTAGGGGTATGGGATCTGAATTTGGTTTTGCAGGGTTTAGCGGGCGCCCTGAACGTTAAATCCTGAGGGCCCTAAACCCCAAAAGCCCTAAACAAAAGTCCTTTGTGGGTAGCTATGGGGCTTCTTAGGGGCCCTCGCAGGAGTCGGGGGATTGAGTTTAGAGGGCCCTGAAGGCTGAACCCTCGAAGTTCATCTTCCAGGAGGGTTCAGGGTTTAGGATTTAGGGTTTAGGGTTTCACTGCCGCCCTCAAAGCGTGCACGATCCCAACATCCTGACATCCGCAAACCCCAAGTGCGAGCACAAAGGAGTTAAGCCCGGAACTTTGCTGCCCCTTAAAGCTGACCTTACGTCTCAGGAGGACGGAGGGTCAAGCTTTTGGGGGCGAATCCTGGGAAAAAAATGGGAGTTTGGGGTGCACTTAGCTAAGACACTGCGTGCCTGTGTAACACTAACTTCGGATCCCTGTTGGGTCCTATGAATCGAATGATTCTAAGACAGCGTCTATGGACTGCAAGACGCATCGCTGTGTCATGTATGTGCATGTTCGGGGGAACCTCGGCGAATGCAAAGCCGCGGCCTGTTGCCAGGCATTGCCCGCCGTCGCACAGGCCAGCCACCAAGCGCAAGACTTAATCCGTAAACGCACCAAGGTTTATCAAGTGTTTTTCAGAAAGGCAGACCCGAACCATGCCCCTTCCGAAACCCTGAGCACTGCGACAACTTCCCGTTTGCGAAGATCCGAGCCCGCCCCCTGAAACTCCTCAACCCTCAGTCCTCAACCCTAAACCCTCCTGAAATTAGCATCTTGTGCCTAACCCCAGGAGGCCCGGATGCTGGCTCTTACATCATGTCTCCTCCTCTTGGTCCAAACCCTAACCCCCCTCTCCCACCCCCCCCCCCCCCCCAACATACCTTCTGCTAGCAATTCTCAGGTTTGAATCCCCGAAGCCCATCCGAAGCCCCTGCCTCGCGCCTTTATCGGGCAGACAGGAGCTCGTGCCAACGCCGCCGCAACCGCCAACCACGACAATGATGCAGGCCAACCCTGGACCCAGCGGTTGTGCTCGGCTGTGTGTTGAGACAATACAGGGGGCTGAAGAATTAGAATAGGTCTTGGGGGGTTAGTATAGTACAAATATACCTAATATTAGTCATTTTTCCGACCCCCATATTATTTGAGGTTCCTTCTGGTTTAGAGGTTCAGCCAGTGGGGCTTTGAAAGTCGTGCGAAGCAATTCCACCACATGCCATGTCCAGGTTGCAGGAAAATCCACGATCCTCAGATGGCTTCCATCACCGTGAAAAAAACAACAACGACTTAGAAGTCTGGGGGTGATAAATCGTGCCCATCGCGTAAGGCGTACAGTGTCGGCACACATGGAGCCTTATCACTTAGGTGCGCATAGGTTTGCAGGGAATGACTCAGTCGGTCGTGTTTGGAACGGGTTCTGGATAGTTCCCCGGCCACTCGAGCGCCGCATCGCAGCTGTATAGGCTCGAGAGGGCACGAATTCAAGCATGGAGCTTTGCTTAAGTTGAGCTTGAGACCGGCTGAGCACCGTTCATGCAGGGCCCGATGCTGGGGGAACAGCTCCAGATCCTCAGCCCTGTGAATGGGGTTTAGACGGCTTAGGGTTGTGTTTGGGTTGGGCCCTCGGTTTTCATGCTTCCTCAAGACTACGACAAGTGGAGGGGCTCTGCTGCCTTTTGAAGCCCTTCAGCGCAAAGCCTTGAACAGTCCAGAAATGAGGAATTTGCGTTTTGAAACCCCGCATGCCGTGTCATCCCCAAACCGCCTCATTGAAAAGCTGGGCAAGAAGCCTCTGCCGGACGCTAAAAGGCCTACATGCAAGCCCTGAGCCCTGAACATCCCCCCCCAAAAGCCCTAAGCTTTTTTAGGGGGGAATCAAGGAGTTGCCAGCTTGTGGCGCACATTCAGAGCCAGCTGGGCAATCTGGCGACGCTGCAGGAGCAGGAAGTGAGGCAGGGGCGCCGGGGGTTTGCGACGAGTTTGGGTCGACCTAGTGTGGCCTATCTACCCTGAGATTGGCGGAAGGTGCATTCAGTTCAGGTCAACGTGTTGGGTGCCTTCATCTTGTTTCAGGGTACATAGGTTACTCTGGGTAAGTGCAGGCTTCGGTTTTCATCTTCTAGGGGGGGGTTGTGCCGCCAGATTTCGGAGAAGTCGAGCGCAGCGGAGGATTTGGAAGGGTGATTTCGGTCGAGTCACAGTCGCCCCCCAGAGCCCAGAAGCCCCAGAGAAACAAGGCCTCTATCAAACTTTCCCCAGTTTTACAGTTGGGCCTGGGGCTTCCACGTCCTGCGTGTGGGCGCTTTAAAGCTCTTGAACTCCCGCCCCCCCCTCCCCCACCCAAGTTCTGCCCCCCCCCCCCAGACTTTGCTCACCTACCCGCGTTTCTCCAACAAGTAGGCTTTCTCTGGCTAGTTGCTATATGACCGGCAGCACCCGAAATGACCCGAAACCCTCACAAGAAGGATTCAGTCGAAGACCTCATCAAGTTGCTAGCCTGAGATGATCTTAAGACGCTCTGAGGAAACACGGTTTAGGGTTTAGGGTTTAGGGTTTCAGGGTTTAGGGTCTAGAGCAGAACGCGAGTCTTCCCCTCTTCCCCAAGCTCGATGGAGAACTGTGGGTTCCATGCCCCTCAGGGCTTCAAGACCGAAGCTGTGGTGGTTGGGTTTTTGGTCATGTAAAGTGTCCATGTCTGCGCAGGCGCCTGCAGCGGGAGGTGCGCCCTTTGCAGTTTGGGGTTACCAGTGGCGGAATTCCGTCTTCGGGCCTTCTGGGAGGGCTCAACTTGTGGTAAGTTGAGGTCCTCAACCTGTGGTAAGTTGAGGGCCTTGGGCTCTGAATCCGGAGGCTCCCAAGGCTCAAAGTCGAAGATCTATGTCGTGAGTTCTCGGTTTACCTAGAAGCAAGGAGTGCCGTGATTTTAGAGAAGTGCCCATGCAACTCCACCACTCTGAGCTCCAAGCTTGATGATGCCGCAGCACCACACCACTTGAACGAGGTTTTTGCGAGCTCAACCGAGGGCACCCTGAGCCCCCCAAAAAGCCGCAACACCTCCTCCCCCCCCAACAAGGAACTTAAACACCTTTTTCAGAAGCCTGTGAAGCCCTTACTTACGACGTTGCGAAACCTGTAGAATCACTGCAGCAAAGATGCTCTTGAGCCCTTACGGCCTGAAAGCTCGCCGATCCCTCCCCGAAATTACCTCCCAATGTACGCATTTTACTTATGTACATCTAGAAGGCCCCTGTTCTTTGTCTACTATCTTTTTCTACTATCTTGAGAATAAGATCTTGCTTTTCAAGTATACCCATAAGGTCCTTATTTTGACACCCGAAAGAAGGTGGAGCTGCTGCAAGACGAGTTGGAGGGCCTCCGAGGCCACTTTGCCCGTTTTCAGGGCTTGGTGTTTTGCGGGCCTAGGTTGCCTCAGGCGCAGAACGGAAGCCTAAACCCTAAACCCTAAACCCAGAACCCTAACCCTCAACCCTCAACCCTAAACCGCCCCAGCTGTGCAGGAGGGAAAACCCTAAGCCCCTCAACCCCCAAACCCTCTGATCGTGGATCCCCGAGGTTCTCCTTGCTTACCTCTCTTGACCGGGGCTCCTCTTAATTCTGCTGTCCTGAAGCCCAGGTTCGTGTTGAGGGTCGCGGATCCACGGTAGTGGCCTGCTTGTAATGCAAAATCGGTTCACCCTAAACCCTAAACCCTAAACGGTTGGGTTTTGTCTTTAGGGTTCGGGCTGCTGCTCTAGCAGGTTGTCGTGCGCAAGCAGCTGAACACGAGAGCAAGGGATCACGGGCCACGCGCACTGTAGACGTCGAGGGGGTTGGGCCTCTATACAGCTTGACTGATCGTTCTTAGAACCGGTTGCAACAACTCTGCAAGACCAAAACTGTCACCTTTTCACTTTTCACCCGGTTTGATGGTTTACGAAAAGAAGGGACCCCGAATATAGTCCCCCCTCCAGATAGTAGGATTCCCTTGTAATAGGGGACGCCAATAAGGTACCCCTAAACCCTAAACCCAAACCCTAAACCCTAAACCTAAACCCTAATTTCGGAAACCCCCCAGTTTGAGCCCCCATCCCGAAGCTTCCGTCAGGCCGGCAGTCCTTGGCCTCCATCCAGACGACCAGCACCGAGACGAGTTTCTTAGGGGCACTTGGAAATAGTTTTTTCAATTATCGGGTACTATAATTATATTTCCTAAAAGAAGCAGCAGAAAATCATTTTTTTGCTGGAGTTCCAAGTTCAGTGTAGGCTTCGGGGATCTCCGCGTGGCGCAGCAGCCGCCCCCGCCCCCATTGGCGATCCCGGAACGCCCCTGGGATTGCGGAGCTCGGGGCTTTTGAGGGTTCAGGATCCATTCTATATAATATATAGTATAATATATATATATATATATAATATCATATATATATATATATATGAGCCCGCCGCCTTTAGGGTCTATTTAGCTTTGGGTTTTTCTTATCGCTTTAAAAGAGCGAATATAAATTTCGTAATACAAAAACACATATTTACACCTACATATGGCACAGAAATCTCGTGCCCAGCGATTCTAGGCCTAGCCGCACGCCATTACGAACTGCGAATTTCTGATTATTCTTATTTTCATTTGCTTCTCTTTGCTATCTGTGTATGCGTGTTCTTTTTTCAGCCTGCGTGAAAAAGTCGCTGTTTGGCTGCGGCTTCAGAAAGACTCTGGCATTCGCACGTGCTGTGAAACTACCCTGCACGTTTAAGTTAAGCCCCCTGCAGCCTGCCCCCTTCCCCCCCTACTCCAACCCCCTACCCCATCACCCTCAACACGCCCCCTTCCCACAATTTACTACACCCACACCACTCGCACCTAACCCCTCCTACCCCTCCTCTCACACCCCTCACTCCAAACTACCAACCTGAAGTTATCATAACTATAATAACTTCAACTTCCCCATCATAAGTTATCATAATTATGATAACTTTAACTTCCCGATCAAAATTATCATAACTATGACAAACTTTAAGTTCTTAATCTCAGAGTATGATAATTATGATAAGCAACTTTTCATAATTATGATAAGTTATCATAACTATGATAAGTTATCAAAGGTTATCATAATTACGATAAGGTATCATAATTATGATAAATTGTGATAGTTATCACAAGTTATCCTCCTCGCCCTTTCCCGTTAAAAGTGCTTACGGCTTAGAGACCTTAGTACATAAAACTGTACTAAAGCGCAAAGAAAACAATGCTTACGATACAGAGACTTTGGTACACTATGATGCGTCAAGACACAATGAAATTATGCTTGCGATCTATACATTGCGCTCTTTGAGATAATTAGTTGAGAAAGAAAAAAGTGGCCACGTGCCAATATTAATTGCTTGTAACGGGGCCGCGGCCTACATACGACATACCCCGCTACAGGGGGGTATGTATTAATGGTCGGGGTCGGGGTTTTGCGACAGACCTGTTTGTTGTTGTCTGCAGGTTCCAAGTCTTGCTTATCGGGGGGTAAGTGTTCGTAAGTTTCAAGGAGCAAATATAAGTATCCCTGAATTTGAAACCCCCTTAAACTCTTAAAGGCTGAGAACGCGGAGTGGTTCCAAGTCTTGCTTATCGGGGGGTAAGTGTTCGTAAATTTCACCAAAAACATGACAATTTTTCCGCGGAATATGTGTCAGTGGAGCCGTGCTAACACAAAAAAGCATGACACATTTTTCGCGGAATATGTGTCACCAGAGTTCTCTTAGCACCAGAAACATGACATTTTTTCCGCAGAATATGTGTCAGTATAGAGCTGTGCTAACACAAAAAACATGACACATTTTCCGCGGAATATGTGTCAGTAGAGCCGTGCTAACACAAAAAAGCATGACACATTTTCCGCGGAATATCTGTCACCAGAGTTCTGCTAGCACCAAGGACCAAAAACATAACATTTCTTTCGCAGAATATGTGTCAGTAGAGCTCTGCTAACACAAAAAACATGACGCATTTTTCGTGGAATATGGG